CCAGAACTGGACACAGTATTATTCCAGGTGTGGTCTGACCAAAGCAGAATAGAGGCACTCATACTTCCCTTGATCTTCTTAGACACTACACTCTTATGAATGCAACCTAGAATCCCATTGGCTTTTTTAGCTGCTGCATCACATTGCTGACTCGTGTTCAGCTTGCAGTCTACTAGGACTCCTAGATCCCTTTCACATGTACCTAATATTTCATATAACATAGTGTATTTGATATATTTGATGCTGCGCAAGGAAGTATCCAGTGCCTCCCTTCCCTGGGGGTTTTACCAAGTTACCCAATGGCAAATAGATGGCCACTGGATCTGGTTCCATCCCATGATCTGAACAGCCACAGAAAGCTCCTTCCATCTTCTTTCTCAGCTTGGAGCTGTCACCCTCCCAGACTTCATCTTCCTCCATTATAGCATGCTTAAATACACTGATGGAACTATATAAGTACACCCAGGGGAACTTTATGCTTTAGCAGCATCAAATCAGATCTTGGACTGTATTTTTGACTGTGTTGTTGTTTTTTATGACTAAGAGTCTTGTGACACCTTCAATATGAACAAGTTTTGTTTGGCATGGGATCTTCTGGACATATGTCTGCTTTATCAGATGATGCCAACAAAGCTCTCACTTCACTGGGAGTTTTTGCTGGGTGTTGTTAATATTTTAAGCCATTTGGAGAGAATTATAATTATAAGTTGGACAGTTCTGGAACTAAATGACTTCTGTGGCAGAATAATTGGTTAGCTCTGCTCAGCACCCAAAATAAACCATTTGCTGTACAGGAGAGCAAGGTCCAAAAGGCACTGCAGAAATAATCCAGTTTGAGAGTGCTTTAATTGCCCTGGTTCAGTGCTAGGGAATCCTAGAAATTGTGGTTTATTGTGGCACCAGAGCTCTCTAACAGAGAACGCTAAATGTCTCACAAACCTATAATGCCGCAATTTCCCTAGCATTGAGCCAGGGCAGTTAAAGTGGTCTCAAATTGGATTATTTTTGGAGTGTGTTTTGGACCCAAGAAAGCTATTCCTAGTAGGGAAGGTGAAACAAGATGGTAAACAGTTCCATTGTGTGTGCAAAATAGAAGGAAAATAGTTTACTACAGGAAGAAAATTGAGAAAGGAAAATGTAATTGAGAACAAGGCATTTAGAAGACCTAGATACCATACCATTATTTATTATTATTATTATTATTATTATTATTATTATTATTATTATTATCTAGATGTTAATGACTAGAATTTTGGACCTGTCCAAGAATCTAGGCATTATTGAGGTATGCTCAGAGAATGTCATGTGTTTCAAGAAGTGTCCCTTTTTCAAATTGTGCAGTTGTGATCCTATCTATTGTGATTTCATCCCAATGTGTTGTCACTTTGTTTTGACTTGCTTGCGGGGTGTAACATGGTGGTTTGAATGCTGGGTAAGGACTCTGGGAGACCAGGGTTCAAATTTTCACTCGGCCATGGAATCAAGCCTGCAAGAAAACCCTAAGACAGGGTTGCCATAAGTCAGTATCAGCTTGAAGGCACATAACAACAGTGCATCATTGCATCAGTGAAACAACACTTTTGCACTGTAACTATAACCCTGAGAGCCAGTATAGTGTAATGGTTGAGCATTGGACTATGACTCCGGAGATCAGGGTTTGATTCCACAGCGGACCATGGAAAGCCACTGACGTTGGGGAAGTCACACACTCTCAGCCTCAGAAAACTATGATAGTTCACCTTAGGCTTGAAAACAGCCTAAAGACACACAACTACAACTACATCTAGGCAAGGAAGAATGAAATGCACAGATGGGTGACTCCTGGCTTGATAACAGTACATGTAAGAAGGAGCAAGAGGTCTTAGATCACAAGCTAAACATGAATCAACAGAGCAATGTAGTGGCCAAAAAAAAGCCAATATGGTTCTAGGCTGCCTCAATAGGCGCATAGTGTCCAGACTAAGGGGAGTAATAGTGCCACTCTTTTCAGCTTTGCCCAAATCTCACCCATAATCTTGTGTCCAGTTCTGGCCACCACCATTGGAGAAGGATATTGACCAGCTGGAACATGTCAAGAAGAGGGTGACCAAAATGGTGAAAGGTCTGGAAACCACCATTCCCTTTGAGGAACATCATAGGGAGCTGGGTATATTTAGCCTGGGGAAGAGGAGATTGAAAGGTGACATGAGAACCATATTTAAATACCTGAAGGAGAATCACATAGAGGATGGAGCAAGCTTGTTCTCGGCTGCTTCCAGAGACTTGAACACAAACCAGTGGATTCAAATATGGGAAGAAAAAAGATTCCACCTGAACATTAGGAAAAATACTTGACTATATGAGCTGTTTGACAGTGGAATAGACATTGTCGGAGGGTGGTGGACTCTCTCCATCTTTGAACAGAAGCTGGATGGCCATCTCTTGGGAGTGGTTTCATGGTATATTCTTGCATAGCAAAATGAGGTTGGACTGGATGGGCCTTGGGATCTCTTCCAACTCTCATGATTCTATTATTCTTGACTTGAAGTTGGGGAAGAGGGGTGATGGGAGGAATGCTGTAGGTGGATTTGCATGGCCACCACTATGTAAAATAAAAGTATGAAGAACAACCTCTAATTAACTACCAGAACCTCTCATTCATGGTTTCAAGCTAGTTTTGAAGCCTCATGCTTCAGAATTTGGCTTGACTCCCACCAATGAATAACTAGCGTCCTCTCCCCCATTCCTTTTGTTGCTGACATGCTGGGAGGCTATATCACTGCCCTTGAAATTCTTCATGCCAAGTTAATAACAAATCCGTAATGCATTTGCAGTGCGAGAAGGCAACTGGAGTTGTTCAGGGGAAGCCTTTTGAGTTTCTAAAAGTGAGTATAGTTTGGATATTAACTGCTTTCTATTGCAAAATGTTAGAGATAGGAACTTTGCTTTTTAATCAGCTGCCCTTGTGGCTAGTATAACTCACACTCTTTCTATCTTTCTGCTTTCCCTAGCTCTCAGCAACACATCCCAAAAGATCAAATCCTCTATTCCATTGCAGGCTTGCTAGTCATGGTGATCTCTAGTTTGGTCAGAACAGAGAGATTGTATTTCCAATCATGGCTTCCAAAATCTCCCAGCTAGCATGGCTGGAGAATTCTGGGACTTGTAGTCCCCAAAAGTAACCTCATTAAATGTTCTTCTGGTAAGGCATGTGCTTTGCGTAGATAGAACTGGGAAGATCTTTTGCCTGAAATGCTGTGGATTGTGTCCAGATGTAGGCATACAAGATAGTCAAAGCTCTGGAAACTAAGCCTTAGGAGGAATGACTTAGGGAGTTGAGTATGGAGAAGAGAAGTCTGAGAGGTGAAATGATAGCTATCTTTAAATATCTGAAGAGCGTCATGTAGAAAATGGAGCCAGCGTGTTTTCTGTGGCTCCAGAAACCGGAACACAAACTAGTGGAATCAAATGATAGGAGAAGAGAGTCCACCTAAACACTCGAAATAACTACTTTACTACAGGTTGAGTCTCCTTTATCTAGAATTCCAAAATCTGAAACACCCCAAAATCCAAAATTGTCCACATGGGTTGCTGAGATAGTGACACCTTTGCTTTCTGATGGTTCAGTGAACACAAACTTTGTTTCTTGCACCTTTAAACATACTGTGTAGAAACATTTCTCCAGGTAATGTGTATAAGGTGCTTGTTGTTGTGTGTCTTCAAATCATTTCTGACTTAATGGAAATCCCAAGGTGAACCTATCACAGGATTTTCTTGAGATGTTTCTCATCAAAGAATTTCATGTTTAAACTTGGGTCTGATCGCCAAGATACAAAAAATAATAATCCGAAATCCAAAACACTTCCGGTCCCAAGTGTTTCGGATAAGGGAGACTCAACCTGTATAAGCGCTGTTGGACAGGAGAATGGACTGCTTTGGAGGATGGTAGACTCTCCCTTGTTGGAGGTCTTTAAACAGAGGTTGGATGGACATCTTTCAGGAGTGCTATAGTTGTGCATTCCTGCATGGCATGGAGTTAGACGTGGTCCTAGTGGCCTCTTCCAGCTATAGGTTTCGTGTGATTCGTGTAGGCCTCCAGATGTTGTTGGATTGCAGATTCCAGATGTCCTGGACAGACCAGTCAATGGTGAAGTATTCTGGAAGTTGTAGTCCAACAGCATCTGGGAGGTTGCATGATTTCTCAGCCTTGGTATATAGAGCCATTGCAGACAAAGAGTTGGAGACTAAGGGTGGCAGACGGTTGGGTAATTGAGCACTGACTCTCCCTTATTTAAGAAGAGGAGCAGTTCAGTGATTCCTCGCCACAGTCCAGGGCTCCCACCAAATTATACAAGGACTGTTGCTATTGTTTTTAATGCAGAAAGAACTGTGGCCTCCACTTGGTTCAGGTCCTTAAAACTAATGCCTGGGCAGAGATATTTTGCTTTCGAAGTGGAGCAGCAAATGGCAGCTTCTTTCTCCTCCACCTCTGAAACAGTCAAGTAAGAGTGTCTACTGCACCAGAGCAGCCAAAATATTTTGCTCCATGAGTCAGAAAATCCCACGCATGCCTCTTGGCATCCTTGGCTGCAAAACAATGCAAGAACAACAAACGGAATATTTAATCATCTACTGCCCTTTCATTAGGGTTGCCAGGTATTGCTTATTATAAGGAAAGTCCCTTATTTGAGGGCCAGAAAGTTGGTGTCTTAAAGGCCTGGCAGGTGTCCCTTATTATCAAGGTTGTTCTCCAGTTGAGGGTTGGAAAGCTTTTTTTTAGTATAGACTGAACAAGGTGCCCTACAAAAATAATATATTTTGGGGGTGTGGGCCCTTGATAAAGACAGAAATGTGTACATCATGTCATTTATGAATGTGTTGTGTGCCTTCAAGTCATTTCTGACTTATGGTGACCCTATCATGGGGTTTTCTTAGCAAGATTTCTTCAGGGGAAGTTTGCCATTGCCTTCCCTTGAGGCTGAGAGCATGTGATTTGCCCAAGATCACCCAATGGTTTTCATGGCCAGGCTGGGATTTGAACCCTGGCCTCCAGAGTCATAGTCCAACACACTCAAACCACTATGCCACACTGGCTCTTCAGAATGTGGACAATATGTTGATTTTACACAAAAATACGTGGCTAGGTTTGTTGTTGTGTGCCTTCAGATCATTTTCAATTTATGGTGACCCTAAGGAGAACCTAGAAGAACCTATCACACGGTTTTCTGGGGCTGAGAGTGTGTGACTCACCCATGGTCACCTAGTTGATTTCTATGGCTGAGCAGGGAATTGATCTCTGATCTCCAGAATTGAAGTTCCAGCATTCAGACCACTACATTATGCTGGTTCTACATAGCTAGGTGAATTGAAATCAGTACTTTCATTTGGTATTTACTTGGACCCCCAGTTTGCTAACAGCTACTTTCTGACCATCAGCCATGCATGTCATGAATTTCAGCTGTCTCTTACTGCTGTTTTGAATACTTCACTTTTCATGGCACCCATCATCTGTTTCCTGAGGCAGATCCTTGACTCTGGCTGATGGTAGAAACACCCCTTACCTGCTGTCTGCCAAGATTTCGAGCCAGAATCCTCAAAGCCATAGTGTGTGGCCTTGTGGGATGAGTAACTATGGATTTGGTACAATAGGATCCAAATTCCTGCAAGCAGCGATGCCTTTTTGGGGCCAACCAAAATGCATAAAAGACATGTTGCAAGATTTCAGAACTCCGTTAACTTCTTCATCAGGCAAGAGTGAAGAAGCCAGTGGAACCTCAAAAGCTTGCAACATGTATTCTGTGCATTTTGCTTGATCTGATAAAAGGTATCATTGTTTTGTGGAATTTAGATGTTATTGTACTTTGCCATATGGCCAACACAGCTACCCCTGGATATGTTTTATGGTTTTTGTGTGTGGACATAAAGGTAGACAAAGGAATAAGGAGGTGCATTGATGGTACCTCCACTTGGCAGATGGTTTGAAGCATTTAGGATACTGAGAGTCTTTCATTTTCTATCAAGAGATTCAAATCACAAGAAGAGAAATTCCAACTAAATTCCGTATTGGGGGAAACATCCATCTTCACCAGTATCCAGATGTTCAACAGTGGAACCATCTGCTTTAGAAGGAGGCAGATTCTTCTTCATGGAGTGAGGAGGGTTAAACAGAGGATGGATATCCACCTCTCAGGAGTGCTTTTGCTGTCACTTTGTGTACTGGCAAGGAGTTGGCTCAGGATTACCAAACTTTGGTCCTCCAGATGTTTGGGGACTTCAGCTCCCAGAATTCTGACACTTTGGCTGAGTTGGCTAGGAGTTCTGGGAGTTGAAGCCTAAAACAGGACGGAGGATCAAGGTTTGGGAATCACTGGTCTGGATGACCCTTGAAGTTCCTTCCAACTAGAGATTGCCTGCTCAGTATTCTCCTAAGCCCTTAGGTTTGGCCTCTTAAAGTATTATATATTAAGTGCCAGCCACAATTGCTCACAGCTTGTCATTCAGACATATACACTGGTCTCCAGAAATTATGACTTTGGAGACCAGGGTTTGAATCTCTGTTCTGTCATGGAACCCCGCTGGGTGATCTTGGGCATGTCACACTCTCTCGGCCTCAGGAGAAGGCAAAGGCAATCCCCCTCTGAACAAATCTTGCCAAGAAAACCCTGTGATAGGGTCTCCTTAGGGTCACCATAAGTTGGAAATAATGTGGAGGCACACAACAACAAATAAGATTGGACTTTCTGGTTGGATCACTGAGGGCAAAGGAGGGTAAGTGAGAATGGGGACAAGTGAAGGCAAGTACAGAGAAACCAACAAGTTTGTACAAGATGCACTGAAAAATCAAATTACTAAAATGGGAGGCCTTTTTCTTTCACTGCTGAAAAGATTTTTCAAAAAAAGAGAGTTGGTTTCAGCACACCCTTGTTTGAAATGGGTTCTCCCTTCAAGGTGACCAAGGGATCTTGTAGCACCTTTGAAACTAACCGCGCAAAAGAAGATGTAGCCTAAGCTTTCATAGACCTGGCCCGCTTCCTCAGATGCATGGAATGAACTGATGCCCCATGCACCTGAGCAAGTGGACCATGTCCGTGAAAGCTTATACTACAATTTCTTTCTCACAGCTAGTCTCAAAGCTGCTACGAAATCCCTTTGCATACTGATATTTCGGGCTAACACAGCTATGTCTCTGAATTCTTCCCACATAATGTACAAAGTTGGTGTTATTGAAATTTAGGCATATGCTTTCATTATACAAGTGAGAGGAAGGCAATTGCATGGGGGCCAGGGCCAATTCTTTCCCCGTATTTGTTTTGTGGGTTGCTTGCACATGCACACACAGAGCAAATGCCTCATTTTCCTCTGTATTCCCTCTCAAAATGGCAATAGTTTTGGGAAGTACAGGAGTCTGGGGTGCTTGTGGGATGGAGTTACCTCTGTGTGTTTCCACATGTTTTGGGGCTTTCTGTATGGTTTGGGGGCAAAGATTGCCTGGAAATTGTGCAGCAATCTTTTTTAATGGAGGGTTTGGAAACTAATGGGGGGCTTACTCCTGGTACAGTATAAACACTAAGATGGGAGCAAATCTTGCATTTTCTTCTGGCAGGATAAGCATTGCAATGAATAAATAAATAAAGCAAACTCCTACTCTCCCCGCAAACCAGTACTTAGCTTGACAACGTTTAGCAATACTGATCTGCAAACTTTGCATGGTTGTTTGTACTCCGTGACAGATGGATGGACTTTGGGACAACAAAATAGTGTCACGGTCTCTCTTGTGGGTACATTGTGTTTGTCCCTCATCGGCTTGCTCTGAGCAGCGTTTGTCTTTTGTCTTGGGATTATTTATGCAAATAGATGATGCTGGGGGGTCCCCTATAATGGGGCTGTTGTTTTCCAAAACAGAAAAGCCTACAAATAGTTTATTATTGGGATGAAAGGGGGAAGAAAAGGGGAAGGGGACCTATTTCCCATGTTTGGCTTTGCTTTCTGCTAAAATCAGTTGATACGCCTTGGCTGTGTGCTATGCAATTTTGGCATTTGTAGTTTAGTCAGTTGTCAGAGAACTCTGGTGCCACAACAAACTACAAATCCTAGGACTCCATACAACAGAGCCATGATGGTTAAAGCAGTGTCAAACTGCATTATTTCTGAAGTGTGGCAGGAGCCAAAGAGAAGAGTGTGACTTGCCCAAGGTTTTCCATTGCTGAGCGGGGTTTTAGACCCTGATCCCCCAGAATCCTTAAACTGCTATATCAAACTGGTTTTCACCCTAATGATGTCTTAATAATAATTACTTGTGAATCAGCACCCTTTTATCGATGTGAATAATAATAGAGGAACTATGAATGAACTCGAGAGCCACTGACTCCGGATTGAGTTTTTAATTTATTCTTGTGTTGTTTTAATTATTTTTTGGTTTAATCTTGTCTTAAGGGGTGGGTGGAGGGATCATGTTTGGAGGGAATGTTTTTAACTGTGCTGTTTTAAAATGCTGTAACCCGCCCCGATTGCCTAGCAGAGGGGCGGGCTATAAATAAAACTTATTATTATTATTATTATTGTTGGAGTGTTGGACTACAACTCTGGAGACCCGGGTTCAATTCCCAGCTCAGCCATGAAACCCACTGGGTGATCTTGGGCAAGTCACATACTCTCAGCCTCAGGGAAAGGCAATGGCAAACCTCCTCTAAACAAATCTTTCCAAGAAAACTGTGTGATAGGGTTGCCTTAGGGTTGCCATAAGTTGAAAATGACTTGAAGGC